AAAAAAAAAAAAAAAAGCAAGAAAAGCTTGTGTCACAGACACTGGGTTTGATCCCATCCTTATGATTCAGCAAAGAATTCTTACAGTCTCTTCACCAAGTGTGCCTAGCAAATACTGAATATTTTTCTGGCTATTTTAAAGTTAAGCTCACATTTTTCCTTCCTTGACGCTGAGTTATGCGCTTTCAAAAATAGCTTTTAAAACATTTACTTCTTCTGTTTCTTTTTAAATTATTCATTGTATAAAGTTTGAAAAATTACAGAGATGAAAATAAAAACCTTCCAAAATCCAGCCACCCCCCAAATAATGACTGTTTACATTTGGCATCTGCAGCCTTCATTCTACCAAATAATTTTCTCAAGGATGCCTACTGCTTTGGGCCAGTCGGGGCATAGTTACCTTTGGAGAAAAGACCACATAGTAGCCTGTGCCCTTGGCTCTGCAGGTCAATTTGCACACGTCCCCTGGCAGGACACCTGCATACTTCGGAACCCATTCCACAAATGTTTTGACTCCTTTTGCATCAGACTGATAGCCATTTTTAGCCTCACACTGCTCATGACGAAAAGATTTACCTAGGGAGCAAAACACATTATATGAATATTTTATTTCTTCTGTGACTTAGATATGATCTTATGCATTTAAATTATTAATTTTCAAAGGAAGACGCTAATTTTTTTCATCACAGAGCTTTTATAAGCAACAGTGTTGAAAGGTTTTATTTATGGGGCAGTTTTTCTTCTAGTCCCACAAATACACTTGTTTATGTTAACAGTTTAAAACTCACTCGTATTTGTTATTGATTTGAACATTACTGGGACTGTGCATCAATCAGATAAACACTATTTCTCCAGGCTTCCCTATTTACTTCTGCTAGGATATAAATTACAGTGGTACTCGGTGCTTACTGACACTTGGGAGCAGCGTACCATTGGGCGGGCAGGGCAGGACGTTGCAGGATCGGTAGATGGCCCTCTTCCCTGTGCAGTAGCGGCCGTTGTTTCTGGGTGCAGGGTTATTGCAGTGGCGATAGGCAAACTGTACTCCACCCCCACATGAGCGAGAACATTGGCCCCAGGGGCCCCAAGACCCCCAGTTACCATGGCTTGATGTCTGAAATCGAAAGCAAGAAAGTTTAATTCAAAGAGGAAGAAAACATCCAAGTTGCACAGAACCTCTGCAAACCACACGCGTGTACCGACACAGTGGGAACTTCAAGGTGGATACAGTTAAGTCTTTACTTAGCTGGACAGGTCATGCTCTGGAATTACAGCACATTTGCAATTCTAAGCAATTCATTTTTTCCCCCAGCGTCCCAATCCCAGCAGCAAAGGCTATAAAATACCACCCTATGTACTTAGTACTTCACAAAAAGGATTTCCTCCTGTTTTCTCTGGGCCACTCTAAATTATGCTTTCTGATATTGTCAAGGCTGTTCACAGCCACACTGACTTTTTGTGCATGCAGATCTTGGATCTTTACGAAATGCATAATGCTAATGGTCTTGCAGGATGCCAAACACTGTCTGATTGTATTCGCATCTCTTCCTCTCCATCCCTAAAGTTCTGCAGATCCTTTGTTGACATCACACATCCTGCCTGTGACTGACTCTGCCGCGTATACTAATGTCTTTGAGCTCAGCTTGGCATAATTCCTGATTAAATGTGACATGCTGAAGGGCATTTGCACCCTGCCTCCATATACCCCACAGGGAAGGAGCAGGCTGGGACTGAGTCTCCCAAAGACAACATATTCCAAACGATTTTTTCCCATAGAATAGGTGCGGAACTGCCCCCAGCTGCTGGTGTCAGGTGTCTGATGATGTCTGATCGGGCGACAACCTGAAAGACATGGCCAATGAGCACATGGCAGCATTGTTTGTTAGGGACCTAGAAAACCTCGTGAATGACAGTAAACACATTCTCAAATCTGGCCTCAAGGATTAAGGAGTCAGATGCTGACCTGAAGCTGGATTGTGCATTGAGGGGTAGAAATATTTCCCTGGAGCAGCCTTATGTTACTATACTAAAGGTAGATGAACTTGCAGTCTGGGTTAAAAAGTGGTCATAGTGGAGGTTGTCAAATAATTATAATAACTGTAATGTAGGCTCTGCTACTACTTCCTTGCTCAATTCAAATAGGTGTGTTCTGATAACTCTAGCAAGAGGCATTTACAAGTGAACTTCCAAAAGACAATTGCTGGGGTGCTACCTGGGATCTCGATCAGACTCTGGGTTGCATGTTTACTTGTGAAAGGCTGTGATCTGCGAAGAAATCCCTATTATTTACACTCCCCAGTATTTGGTTACTAAGAATGGCCACTATGGGAAGAAGATGGAGCTGAAATGGATCTGGAAAGATCAAACATTTTCTCTAGGAAACGCAGCCTTCTGACACAGTGCCACCCATGTCCGGGAATGAACACCACTTACTGAATAATATTTCTTCTTGGTTTTGTCCACACACTTGCCCTGCAGGCAGATCCTCCCTTTCCCACAGGGCGTCCCTTCCACGGCAGGCAGCTTCTTGGTCAGACAAACCATCTGGCCCTGACGCACCACTGCGCACCAGAGCCGGGCGCACACATCCATGCCAGGACACACAGAGTATTCAGGTCCGAACGTCAGATTGCACTGCTGGGTGGCATCATAAGTCTGTCCTGGAAGCTCCTCGGGGCCAAGGATCTGCTTCCGTGGCACGTCCAGCAAACAGTTACCTAAAGGAAGAAACCGAGATTAACCACAGCTCTGCGTTTAGGTCAGACCCTAAAATCAGAGATCTAAACATGTGAAATAAATCAGACACAGAAGGCCAAAGGAGGCATGGTGTCTCCGTTATGACAGATCCCAAGTATACATAATTGAAAAATCAAAACAAAAGATAGATGATAGAAAACAGGTTTTTTTGGAGATGGAAAGGGGACCTGGGGGGAGATAGGAAGGAAGTGAGAGGAAGAGGAAGTTAAGAAATCTCAGGATGTCACATGTATATGTGTACGTGCCAGTTCCCCAGAATGTGTGTATTTATTATATGTAAAAACCATACAAGAATAATACAAGGTTCTTAAAAATGAAATGCTGCAGGTAATGTTGAAGCAGAAAGCACTCTCAAATCTGCAGCCTGGTGCCCTAAAGAAAATGACGTGTGTGGGGCCTGGCTCATCACCTCCCTGGATTCTAGCATTCTCCATGGCTCATGTGCTACACGTAGTATGACCACATGAAATTATTTTTTAATATGAGCTATGAAAATAGCCATCTCACTGAGGCACCAAAAAAACATTCAAATGGACCCAGAGGAAATCCAGTAGGGAAATTAACAATAATAAATCTTTTACTCTCTATCTCAGTTACTTTTCTTGTTGCTGAGACAAACTATCCAATACTCAAAGTTAAAAGGTGGAAGGTTTATTTAGCTCACCATTTGTAGAGGCTGCAGTCCCTAATCGGGAGGCCCGGAGGTAGAGGAGAAACAGTTTATGGCAGCTTGAAGGTAGCAAAGCAACAAGGGGCATTAACAGTGTCTCTCTGCCCTTTTTATCTTATCCAGACTACAAGGATTAGGTCGATGCCAAACCCATCAGTGGACCAGTTTAGTAACCACATGCCTTTAACCCCAGCATCACACACTAGATTCAGCCACCTCTGAAAAAGCCACCTCTGACTACAAGAGGCTCTGTCGGGACATCTGGACCCAAATCATAACACTCTCCAACTCTGAGAAACACAGTATCCTGGGTATTCTATTTATATCTCATGCAGTATTTCCAACTTATCCTTCTCCTGTGTTTCTCACTGTCTCCTTTCCACTAATTCCATAAATAATACCCGAGGTGGTATCGCATTTCTTTTTTCTTATTTGGGTTTTATTCTTTTTTTTATTATTATTCTTGTACTCACTGAACGATCATTGGCTCAGTACCTGGGATGCCCTCGAACACATTCTAGGTATTAAGAATACAATACAATCTATCCCTGCCCAATAAACTGACAGCCTTGATTTTCTCTAGTCACACATTCATGCAGGCCTATTTGCCTTCAGTTCCTGGGGTTTAATTTTGTTTGTTAACTTGTTTTAGGATTCATGCACTGGCTACAACAGCAGTAAAAGTAATACATACCTGTTACACTGCACGTACTACTGTCAGTTCTGAACATGTACTAGCTTATGTAACGCATGAAAAGCCTATAAAGCGGATTCACTTATTTTACTTGTTCTGCAGATAAGGTAACTGAAGAAAACAGAAGGTACATCGGGTGGTTTATGCTTGGTGACATAACACAGTATTAAGGGCAGCGTTCCAAGCCTGCCTTCCTCATCATTTACCACATTGTCTCAGGCATGAGGACGTCTGTCTTACATTTCTGCTTAAGGGCAGTATGTCTAAGGACCCCTTAAGTAGGGAATATCATGCTTAATGATAAAAACAGCTGTCTCAAGCCTAATCCTGGTGAAACACTAAATGGCTGAGTGCTTTTGGTTAACTAGTTACATTTCCCAAATTTATTTTCAAGTGCAATTTTGTTTCTCACTGAAGCTATAAAAATAAACTCAGCTAACAGACCAGAAAAATATGAAACAATTGCAGTTGCTTCTATGTCCAGCCTTTTAACAAGATTTTAGATGTATTATTCTTTTTAATCAGCAGAAGAAAACTGTATTCCAATCCTTACTTTCCACTGAGAAACAGACTACTGAGCACACTCTAAGCCTACTGAAAATGTTATTACAACTACACTCAAGTTTCTTCGAAGTGAATATGTTGCACCTACTTGTTCGTGTGTGATGAAGACATTATATGAAAATGAATACCGCCCGAATTTCCCATTTAACATCTGAGCCAGGGTGTCTGAAGAGGCAAAGCTTCTTAAGGCAAGGCAGAAAAAGCATTAAACATAAGTATCCTGCCAAGGAGAACTCAGGGAGGAAAGCACGAAGTTAAAAGCGAAACATCCACATCAAGTCAATAGGAAAGAATCATCAAGACTTCAGCAAGCTTATTTATGGACAGAGTAAGATTAGGCACATCAGACTCCAAGAAGGACTTTATCGCCACCGCTACAAAAAAGGAGATCTGTGTAATTCAAGAAAAGCTCAGCAAGCTGCTAAGGTTAGAAAAGAGTCAACAAGTCTGAGTCAGCAAGAATACCTTCCAATTCTTCAAAAATGCTGCTCCAAGAAACTTCTGAACAAATTTTTCTAAAAAATTCAGCTTACAGCACTGGGTCACTAAATATTATCTGGGAAGTGTTTGCCAAGTGTGGGTGCATTTATCCTGAATCAAACTCACCACCTCACAATGGATATAAAATAACTGATCCCTTTTTTATCTCAGCAATCGATGTGCAGTGAAAAGAGACATAGAAAGTAGTTTGAAATCGATCTACAACGAGAAGGCTTCAAGATGTGGCAACTCTGTATAAAGCTTAATCCCGTATATTTACAAAAACCAAACTATTTGCTATTAAATTGCTACTAATTTGCCATTAAAATTAGGTGTATTTGTTCTATGACTTTTGTCCTAGAAGTCATGTGGAGATGACCTTTGCTTGCTTAAAATAAAATAGTTTCTTTTATTAAGTGATTGTCATCACGTTCTAAGCATTAGGGCTTGTTGCTGATAATCCATTCCTGTTTACCCGGAAACATATAGTCTACTGATTTCATTTCTATATTAAATCATATTTTCTGCAGTGGAGTAGGTACAGAATCTACCTAATGGCAATAATCTTGCTAAGTAAGAATGACAGTAAGTCATTACTGAGCCTGATTCTAATCTCATGGCGGTAAACATTTAAAATGTAAGTAGAATTCAATTGATTGAAATCATACATTTTCCATTTTAAAAGGGTGTACAGATTGGGAAAGGGTACCAGGGAAACTTTATCAGTCTTTCAGCATCATGTATGTTGACCCCTAAAGCCACCCAATCTACTGTTATCTTTGTAAAGTCAGCTTTACTTTCATTCTCAAAAACTTCTTCCTATCAACCTCACATTCTTTTGTTAGTGTGTGTTTTTGTTAGTGTGTGTAACAGTGACGTTTGTTTCAGTAACTGGTATAACATATATCATTCTCACTCAGGTTCAATTCCTTTACCCCCCTTTCCTTTGGGTTTTCCTCTTCCTTTATGCTCTTCCTTACCTCCAAAAAGCTTGCCTTTTTGTTTCTTACTATTTCTCACATAGTTTTAAATTTACCCTACTTGGAAATTCTATCTGGGCTTTGCTATTTCACAAATTGTGAAGCTGTTCCTCCTTCCTCCCTCCTTCCCTTCCTTCCTTTAGCATTTTCTGGATAAAAGTGGATCATTTATTTTAAAAAGTCAATAGAAATGTGTACATATTGTACATGTATAGTTTCCCATCTGTGTTAAGCCAAAAGCTTAAAGTAAAGATTAAAAAAACAGAAGGCATTGATGCCTTGCCTTCAGGAAATGGAACAGAAAAATCTCATATTGTATATCTAACTTCTAGCAGTGCTTTTCTTTTATATTAATAATGAATGAAAATTATCAGACTAAGGTTGTTGTTCTTTAAAATTGCATTTTTCTTTCCCGCTTCTAGAAGGCAAGGCAGTTATTTCATTCTTCTCCTTTTCAATACATAGGCATAAAATTAGGCAATGGCCCAAGTATCCGTGGCCTAGAACAGGCATGTTCAACTTGGGGCTCACAGAATGAAGACCACATCCCTATTTTTAATTAATATTATAACAGCAATATGAAAAGAGGAAATTTTGTTACATGTATACACTAACTGTTTATTATGCTGCCCGAGACAATTCCGCTTCATTCAGTGAGGCCCAGCCAAGCCAAAAGGCCTTAGGAAAGAATCCATTAATATTCCTAATAAAACACGCAAAGAGGCCCAGTACACTGTATGCCATCTCCTGGTGTTTTGTATTTTCATCCCCCAGCCTTTACATTGTTTCTTTTAGGTGTTTGTTTTAATTCCTGCTCTCAAAGGAGAAACTGGTGCATTTGCTTGCAGTTTGAAGAATTACTTTGGATTTAGCAGCAGATAAAGGAACAAGGGAGTTGACAAAGCAACAAAATGTGTTTTAAAAAGTCTTTCAAGGAGCCCATGAAGCTGTTGGAGGCTTTCGGTACACTGAACAGCAGGTGCAACAGCAAGGGAAATGGATTACACATTGTCCATGATCAAGGATAAAGCAAAGATTTGAAGAAATGTAGGTCACCGTGGCCTGCAGATACAGTATATCTGATTTGCTCACTTTCAAAGAACGTATTTATTGTGCAGATCAAGACATAGCTTAATAACTAGGCTTTGACTTTTATTATTGCCACCTTACTATTATATGTATAGTGGACAATTAATAAAAAGTTCAGAGAGTGGATTTTCTAATACCATGTTCTATCCGAAGTTCTGTGTTTAGGGAGTGGCTGTAAACTTAGCTCCGCACATCAACTACAGGTTAATTTTTCAAAGGTGTCTCTAGGTTTTCCTTAGCAGTCTGTGTCCTTGAGTTGAACCTGAACAGGTGGCGGCCTTTCTCATCACCCGGAACTGTGGATTTAAACACACACGGCTATCTTTTTTGGCCTCAAGGTTGTTAAGCATTTGAGAAAGGAAATTCAATTACCTCCTTTCACTGCACAATTCCTCTGCCAGTGCTCACCTTTATTTTAGAAGATAACACTCCTAGCCAGCTTGCCTACAGCTCATTTACATAAACACTGCAGAATTCCTACAAGTACCTTAGTCAGAAAGGAGTCCCATGATACATTTATACTCCTTTTTCTGAATCAAACATCTCCAGATACAGGTGCTTTTGAGTCTGCACTTTGACTTCTCAACCATAAGCTAATTGCTCCATATTACTTTGCCAGATCTAACTCAGGAAACACTCAGGAAATACTAATGAATTTACATTTTGCAGTGGTTGAGTGGTACAAATGCCCAGCTACTTATGGCTAATAAATTTAAAAATAAATCAAATGCTTTTAATTTAATTTTACTTTAGGATTTCATCTTTCCAGCATTTTTGGAGGCATGAAGAGGAGGGATAAGATATAATGCATAAATGGATTTTCCAGATAAAATACTGTTTAGGTATCATCAAAAAGTTATAGATTTTGTGAGAATATCGCCTTATACATAGTAATTGCTTTGCTGCCTTCATGCTAGTGTCACCATCTAATTTTCCTTACTTAAATAACTGAAAATCATCCTTTTTTCTACATATTAATGATACATTGTATCATGCTGAAATATGCAGGCATCTTTAGGGCTAATAATAGTGTGATAAGCGTTTTTGAATTATGGGAAGTGGTGCCAGACCACCGTACTTTTTATGTTTTAAGGGCTGTACTTTACAGCTTTTTGTGGCTTTTCTTTTATTGTCAAGCAAAATCTCTTTCTGTTGTCAGTTTGTTTGAAGTCCTCCTTACCATCTATGACTATTTTATTACTTAGGAAATTAAAACAAAAAAGAATAGAACTGTAAAACACGAATAAATAGGGTTTGAATGCAAATCTGAGTAGTTACCTAAGTGACAAGATTTTATGACACAGTTTCATGAAATCTGTCACTCTTGGAGAAAATGTGTACTTGCTTATTTTTCCATTATCTTGGACTTTTTTGTTAAACCGTCAGAACCTCAGTTCTTTCAAAATTGGGCTTACTATTTTTATGGCCATCTGCTCACTTACACTGACTTAGTTTTTTGGCCTCGGTTTGAAAAAAACTATTAAACTATTTGAATTTACAATTAAATAACAGTGCTACAGCAAGTACTAGCTTCAATTCTGTATCTGTGGATACAGAATACAGAATACAGAAAGGAAATACAATTGATCTTTGCCAGGGTTCCACACCACCTTTCTTTGTTTTTCATTATTCTGAAATTAATCATTTTATGAAGGACCTATAAAATACATTACTTTGGTTTGATTATAAAAAAAGGACATCCCCAAATACCAATGTATTTAAAAGCAACAGATCCTAAATTTGATTAAATACATTACTAAATAAATAAACTGAACATTTTCTGCCTAAAGAATTCTGATAATTGAATATGATTATTTAATATACACCTAGGAAATCTGCATAATTTTATCAGTACAAATGAATAAGACCTACTCATACTCAAATTTTATGCTTAGTTGCTCCCTGTCATGAGTCCTTTGGAATAGAAGTAGAGACATTTCTTAAAATAACATAAATTTGTTGTAGACTTGTTTTTAAAATCAGAATATGGACTTCTTTAAATAGTGAAATAATGTTACAAAAGGGAGACATTGCTGAAAGCATATTTACTGCATAGAAAGTAAGATCATAAATTTCAAAAGCACGAGATAAATGAAGCATTCCAAAATTATGGCAGTAAGGAACAAAATTCTGCACAGCACTGTAAGTAGTTGACCTAATACTTGTAGAGGAAAAAATTTGACTCCATTTTAGTCATAAGTATTTGCTTCCTTAGCAACTTAATCTATTCACTTAATGATTCAAAATTTAGCTCAACCCTTTGGAATGTGTAACGTATGATTTTGAAATAAAATATTAATGTCATTTGATTTTCAAAAAATTTGAAAAACATGTAAAAGTAATTTTAGGAGTGGGGAGTTAAGACTCCACTGAAGAAACACTTTAATACATATTGATCTGATCAGTGTAGATAGGTAAGTAAACATTCATTTACGAACTTACAGCATTTAATCAGTATTGGAAACTGAACTGAACATAAAATTAACATTTTTATTAGTTAAAGGGAAATCTTTGATAGTCATTTTAATATTATTATTATTATTATTATTATTGGTACCTGGGATTGAACTCAGGTCCTTGTGCTTGCAAGGCAGTCACCAGAATCACTGAGCTAAATTCCTGGCCCATTGATAGTCATTTTAAACCAAGTTGGCCTTAGATTACTTTTAGGAATAAAAGATATCAATAAAATGAGCAGGGAAAACATTGTTAGTGCATCACTAACATAACAAAAATGAATTAATGACCACCTTTTGGCTATATGATATTAAAGAATTCTGCAGCCGAACTTCTCTTTGTCTAAAGTGAATTTATCATTTCTGTGTAGAGAAAGTTCAGCATGGCTAGCACACTGGAAATTATGAAAATGTGAAGCCATAAACATTGCGAAACTGAGAAAGCTAATTATCACTGACCTAAGAATTATCACCACACACATTTGAAAATTTTATGGAAAATTGTGATCAGAATTTCTTTTAAACTCAATTTAATTACTAGGTTTAGAAAGAGAATTTTAAGAGAGCAAAAAGGAATATTATTTAAATACACCAATAAATTTAATTAAGAAAGGAATATAATTTTCTGTAAAATGAGAAATTTGAACAATGTGCTCTCTGACGTTCCTTTTCAACTCTTAACACATCTGTCTTACTGGGTTCCTATTATTTTAAAGTAATAAAGGATGATTTGAAAATTGCAACAGTTTGTTTCAAAGATTACTTAGGGGCCAGGATTTATTATTTCTATAAATTGTGACTTCCTCTGTGTTTTTATATAACTTGTAGCACTAATCCTAACCTTATGGAATTTAATAAAGTTTAATAAAATTTCTAAATTTAATAAAAATACTACATTTTTAAATTGTCTCTAAAGAATAAATTCAATGATTTTCTTTGCATTTTTAAAGTGATTTCCCATTGAGATGCTTTTCTATTCCTGTTGTGTGGTTTATCATTCCTTTTAGGACAATCTGCTGTCAACATAAAATCCAGTCAGTGCAAACCTAGGTAGCTTCCTTTCCTGGATCTATGTTACCATAAAAAGAATATGGTAGAATTATCCCCAACACCTTAGCCACACCCTGTAATGGGCAGCAAGTAATTCAAATAATTCAGAGCGTCTCTTTAATAGCAAGCAAACCAAGATGTCTGCCAAAGTTCTCACAGGAAGACAGTGGTGAAAGAGGGAATAAAAGCCAGGTTTTCAGGGCACCAGCTAGGCCTTCCGTGTGATCTCCCACATTATTTCTCTTTTGTACCTTTCTATTCAAAATATGCCATAGCTGCAATGCCACCAAGGATGTTGGCATTTCACTTCAACGATCCATTCCCATGCTCCTTTTCTCACACTGTCTCATCCATTGTCTTGGAGGTAAGATGAACATTTTGAAGGGGAGGGGAAGTAAAGTTCCGAAGAATCCCCATTTTTTTTCAGACCCCAACTTGTCCGCAGTGGTACATACCATGGCCATCATCCAGGAATTCAGTGACAGTGGCTGAGGTGCATTTTGACCAGGGCTTAGAAGCATCTATACTGGTTAGGATGGAAGACATTAAGCGCTTATCTTCTGTGGAACCAAAGTTCTCTTCACAGAATTTGGAATCGTCATGGGAGAGGCCTAGTAGATGTCCTAGGGAGACAACAGAGGAAGTGCATATAAGAGAGAGAGCAAAGAAAGCAAATGATGTGTGATTCTGGATTTCTATTTCTCCCCAACAATGGAGGGAACACTTGGCTTGTTTTGTCCCTTAATTGTAAATGAGTTCATTTTAATTGCCTTCTGATTCAGACAGAAATTTGATCCCCAGGGAAATAAAATCTGCAAGTAGTTACTGGAACAGTTACTTAGGGGTGACATACAGATGAAAACTGAAAAATTAAAGTAAGGAGCAGATTTTCCCATAATTCATCTGGGTCACATATGCTCCCTGGCACGTAGACACAAAGCCTTATTTAGAATACAGAGCTTGTGAGGCAACTGCACGATTATGTCATGGTCTTTAGCACATATTATTTTGATTGTCTAATTTTCTGCCTCTTCTGATCCATCCTAAGCTCCCTGAGATCAAAGAGCATCTGTCGCCATTCGCTGTTGAAATCCTTGTATTCTATCTTAGTGGCACACAAGTTGCAAACACTAAATAGGTGGGTTTTGAATGTCAGTGACTTCTATTTTCTTAGTCAAGTTAAATAGTTTTATCAGATGACTCAGGGAGAAAGAGAAAAGATGTAAAATTAGTAACCTTTCAGTTCCATGTGAATGTAAGCTTGCTTCACACTTTTATTTATTTAGAGAATTATAAATGTTTACTAGTTACACAAACAGACGGTATTTTGAACATAAGCACATCTGCATTTAAGAAAAGTCTAATAAATCAAGATGAACATCACGGAGTGTTAGAGAATGAAGAGAAAACAGATACTGAGAAGTGAGTGATTGTTCAGAAGCACTCAGACAGGTCGAATTTATACAAATTCTAACCATGCTGTCTGCCTGCTGTCAGCCAGACGTTCTTTCCCAGAGTGCCTCACCTCGTTGTTGCAATTTGAGTAAATTGCTTTTCATTACTTATTATTAATTTTCACACATTCGAAGAGCAAGATAGCACTAGCTGGTAAATCAAAAAGATACTTTAAAAAAATGTGGGTCAGCAGTCTGAGTATTTGGCAGAAACTCTAAAGATTAGACAAGTCACCCTAGTAGTGTTTTTAGCAAAGCTTTCTAGAACCATATAAGAACCACTGGAAAAAAAAAACATAGACAAAATTACAGGAAACTGATTATTCTGTTCCCCTTAGGATCCTGAATGCCAACTCCAAGAACTGTGGCCATTCTGTCAAGATCCCAGTGCACACCAGTAAAGCACAGGAGCGATGAAATCTCGCATGTGACAGTCTCACTACTTTTGGCCAACTTGTTCAATCACCAACACCTAATAACAAAATTGTTCACTGAGCAGCTGACTGCTGCTGTGGCTGATCTAAGTGATGAGAGCTCAGTGGACCTCCAAGTCTCCGCATACTTATGCTATTTGTTTGGTTATTAACTTCAATAGTATTTATGAGGCTGGCAATTTCTCTCGGGGGAAATCTTCCACCACCACTCACAGTTTGTTTAGTCAGTGTCTTGAACATGATCATAGTTTATAAAGCATGATCCAAATGATTTACAAAGGCATATATATA